TCATGGAAAAGTTGTTTAACTCCATTCAAAAAGTTAAAAGTTAATCTTTAATAGATGATAGATTCAGGACTTGCAATTGAAACGATTTCAAGTATTTATTTGTTTATTTTTACATAATTTGGGCTTCCAGCTCATGAATACGTTTCAAACCCTTCCCACACACTTGCAATATTCTAAACAATGTTTCTAAACTCTAACCTCTCTAAAAGAGCACAGAATGTCATGTTTCAGTTCCCTGCCTCCTCTGCTCTCAGCCACCTGCAAGCACTCTTGGCAACGCCCACTTCTCCACTCTCCACGCAGATCAGCTGATCAGCTGCAGGAGGATGTTTATCCTGCAATAAGGGCTGCACAAAGATGCAGCAGGTACTAAATAATTTAAAATAATTTGTTTTAAATAAAAATTACATGCTGATTGTCATGATGCACACTTTAATCTTTGCTAAAACACTCTTTTCACTGCTTGGTTTCTAGTTTTCTCTATGTTCATTTGGTTTCTGTCAGCTCTGCTTCCTATCTGCAGCTTTCTGCCTGTCACACCTCCTCTCACTGCAGCTCGTTAGTGTTCATGGGAAACACCTGTGCTCTGGTGCTTAAAAACTTCTCTCCCTCACAGTCTCTATTCCCTCACAGATATTTGGGAATATCGAAAGCCTTTGGTGAGTAGTCTTCCAGCGTTTCTCTCTTGTATCCTGATCCTGTTCAGTCTCCTGCCTGCCCCTCAACCTCTGATTTTTGTCTTGCCCTTTTGCACCTCTGCTCATCTGCCTTTTTGCTGCCGTTACTTGCTTGTTTTTGGACTCAGAGTTTTGCCTTGCTTTTTGGTACTGTCGCCTTTATCGGATCCTGTTACCGACCTTGTTTCTGCCCACGACTCTGCCTCTGGATAGCCCACCCAAGACCACCGACGTACACCGCCCCTCGGTGACGTTTCCGCACTGTTCAGCGCTCTGCCTCCAGCCCATTGAGCCTTACAAGACCCAGCTTCAGCTCCTTGTCTACCAACACCAGCCGAGAGTGGCAGCTCTTTACTTACAAACCGTATTCCAAAAAAGTTGGGACACTAAACAAATTGTGAATAAAAACTGAATGCAATGATGTGGAGGTGCCAACATCTAACATTTTATTCAGAATAGAACAAAAATCACAGATCAAAAGTTTAAACTGAGAGAATGTATCATTTTAAGGGAAAAATCTGTTGTTTCCAAATTTCATGGCGTCAACAAATCCCATAAAAGTTGGGACAAGTCCATTTTTACCACTGTGTGGCATCCCTCCTTCTTCTTACAACACTCAACAGACCTCTGGGGACAGAGGAGACCAGTTTCTCAAGTTTAGAAATAGGAATGCTCTCCCATTCATGTCTAATACAGGCCTCTAACTGTTCAATCGTCTTGGGCCTTCTTTGTCGCACCTTCCTCTTTATGATGCGCCAAATGTTCTCTATAGGTGAAAGATCTGCACTGCAGGCTGGCCATTTCAGTACCCGGATCCTTCTCCTACGTAGCCATGATGTTGTGATTGCTGCAGAATGTGGTCTGGCATTATCGTGTTGAAAAATGCAGGGTCTTCCCTGAAAGAGATGACGTCTAGATGGGAGCATATGTTGTTCTAGAACCTGAACATAGTTCTCTGCATTAATGGTGCCTTTCCAGACATGCAAGCTGCCCATGCCACAAGCGCTCATGCAACCCCATACCATCAGTGATGCAGGCTTCTGAACGGAGCGTTGATAACAACTTGGGCTATCCTTGTCCTCTCTGGTCCGGATGACATGGCGTCCCAGTGTTCCATAAAGAACTTCAAATCGTGACTCATCTGACCACAGAACAGTCTTCCATTTTGCCACACTCCATTTTAAATGACCCCTGGCCCAGTGCAAACGCCTGAGCTTGTGGAGCTTGCTTAGAAATGGCTTCTTCTTTGCACTGTAGAGTTTCAGCTGGCAACGGAGGTCGGTGGATTGTGTTCACTGACAATGCTTTCTGGAAGTATTCCTGAGCCCATTCTGTTATTTCCTTGACAGTGGCATTCCTGTTTGAGGTGCAGTGACGTTTAAGGGCCCAGAGATCACGAGCATCCAGTCGAGTTTTACAGCCTTGACCCTTACGCACAGCGATAGTTCCAGATTTTCTGAATCTTTTGATGATGTTATGCACGGTTGATGATGATAACTTAAAAGTCTTTGCTATTTTACGCTGGGTAACACCATTCTGGTATTGCTGCACTATCTTTCTGTGCAACAATGGTGGAATTGTTGATCCTCTTACCATCTTGGCTTCTGAGAGACACTGACACTCTGAGAAGCTCTTTTTATACCCAATCATGTTGTCAATTGACCTAATTAGTGTTAATTGGTCTTCCAGCTGTTTGTTATATGCTCAATTTCCTTTTTCCAGCCACTTATTGCTACTTGTCCCAACTTTTTGTGATTTGTTGACACTGTGAAATTTTGAATCAACATATTTTTCCTTTTAAAATGTTACATTTACTCAGATTAAACTTTTGATCTGTCAACTATGTTATATTACGAATAAAATATTGACATTTGCCATCTCCACATCATTGCATTCAGTTTTTATTCACAATTTGTTTAGTGTCCCAACTTTTTTGGAATCCGGTTTGTATTAATAAAACCTTCTAAAACTGCTCTGGATTCTTGTGGTTCTGATCCAACCTCAATCATTACAGTGATTCAGTGTTTCCCCTAGTTAACTTGCCATGGCGGGATGCTCATGTCATCCATGATTTTTGTTGGGGGGGGGGGGTTCAGCATGAGGGAAGAGGCACCTTTATCTTTTTAGCTAGAACACCTGTATTGTGCGCTGCTAGCTTAGCACGACACGTTTGAGTCGTGTGCTGTTTATCGACAGTTTTTGAGTGTGTGTGGGGGTTCAGCTTGAGAGAAGAGGCAACGTGAGCACTGCCTTTAGCTTTTAAGCTAGAGAGCTTGTATTTCACGCTACATGCTTAGTGCTATGTCAGTGCAGGGTGGGGGGAGTTCGGTTTGGTAGGCGGGGTGCTCAGTTCAATTGACGGGGTGGGGCACCCTGCCTATATAAAGGTAGGGGAAACACTGTGATTGATCGTGTGGTTCATCCATCAATCAACCAATTGTGTGTCATGTCCAATCTTATTTTGAAAAACCGCAATAGAGCGAATCCGAGAAAAACGAACCGCGAAGTAGCGAGGGACTACTGTATTTTTTTTTCAAACAAATGTTTTAAGTACATTTTCAAAACATTACTAAGATACTTCCTAATATCTTTTTAAAAAGGTACAGCTGTCTCTCTCTGAAAGATCGTGCTGCTGTTTGGCGTATTGTTTTTGTACTGTTAGTGCTTAGCGTACTCTTAGTTTAGCGTATTTCTGAGTTCATATCTTAGATCTTATTACTGTTTTTCTTTACAATTTGTACTTTTCTTGGGTGTAACTGGGACCCTGTGTACACAGTTTCATTCCACCACATGTACCACATGTGGTGGAATGACAAAGAAGTTTAGACTTTGATAGCGACTCAAACTAATCTAAGGAAGCATCAGATTCTTCACTGTCTGTCAGCCTTTGTAGCAGTGTTCGGTTCACGTGCAGCCGTTCCCATTTTGTCATCACTTCCTGTTACTGTGCATACAAATATCTCAGCAAGCGTTCATCTCAGCAACTTTAAAAAAAATTGCAGCACATTAACAATGTTGTTTTTCCAAAATTGCATAAAAATTCATTATAAAACTTTGATGTCACAGACACTAAAATGCATCTGCAGGTGTGCTTCCAATCAAACTAAATGTCACCTAACCCCTTCAAAGCCATGACATCATCATCTGGGTTTTCCCAGTTTGTTTAAATGCAGAGTAACCCTACTTTCTCAATAACAGGTGGCAGGCGTCGAGTTTGACGCTTACTCAGACTGGCAATTTTTTTTCTCGCTCTAGCAGGAAAGACAGCCTCAAAGAGATTCTTTTAATTTTTAAAGTACAAACTTTAAACTACACAAGTTGTTAAATTGTGTACATAGGTCAAGTAAAACTAGTTATGACAAATAATCCACGCCACATCTTTCTCTGAAATCATCGTCATGAAGCGCGTTGGAGCGAGAGGCTGAGCAAAGACGGGCAGTCTGAGGGACAAAACTCACCCATCATCCAGATGTTTGTCTACAACAAACAAGACTCTGTCCAGAGGACCTGACTCAGCCTTGTTAGATTTATCTACCCGGATTATTGAGCAGCATCAGGACATTTTATACCACGTGTTCACCTTCAATGGGATGCATAATGAAATGGGTTATGTGTCTTTCTAAAAAGTGTATCTGGTTTCAAATGTTTGGTAGCTGAGACTAAAAAGCAGGCCTGAACCAGAATCAGAAATACATTTTCTTCTGAGGGTGACATGTTTTTGATTTTAGACAGTCTACAATGCTATGTCAACAGAAAAAAGTACAAAGGCTTTAAATTAAAAACAGCCCAACACAAAGAGCAATTGGGAATGGCATTTTAAATATTTCATTTTTAAGTGAATATTAAAAATCTAGAATCTGTGTACATTACTTATATAGCATATCTCACAATTTTTATCCCATCCATTATAAGTAGATAACAGAGAACATGAGAAAAGTATTTTTTAATGTATATATTATTTGAAGTAAGTATTGTGAGTTACCACCTCTGCACTGTTAATCTGACTCTACATCTTCACAATAAGGAAACAAAACATTGTAGAGAAAAAGCACTGCGATGAGCAAACACTGCAAAGCCAGATGAAGCATATTGCAGTGGCATTAAGGCCGTCACTACTGGAGTCGACACAAACAGGAAACTGTGGTTAACCATAACAGATGGTCTTTTACCTTCTCCAGCCAGTATCAGGAGGTGGGGACAAATATACCGAGCCATACGGACAGCTGTCAATGTAAGACTGTGGGTTAAGGAAGTAAACATGACTTGGCTCATTTAACATTTCATGTAACAATTCTTTATGTTAAAAATAACATAATAATAGAAAAACAGTACAGGTACATCAAGTAAGTCAGAATGCTGTATGAGTTAACATAGCTGTCACTCAGTTTACTGACCACTGGTGGAGGACGAGGGGATGCTTCAGTGGTCAACATGGCCCTGTTCCATCTTCTTCTGACATGTGTTGCTGCCAACAAATTCAAAACTGTCTCTTTTATTTATTTTATTTATTTTTACAAAGAAACAATTTAAACGTTTACTATGTTCTATTGAGAATGAAATATGGGTTTTTGTAATGAGAAAATCAGTCTGTTTTTTATTTCTTTATTTTTTGTTACATTTAACACAATGTCTGAACAGTTTCAGAAAGTGAAAGTATGCAGCACATTTACACAAAAAGTACTGCTCAGTTTCATTTACTCTGCATGATGAACACATTTTAAACAAGCAGCGCGCCAATGTCGCTGAAGGACAAGAATAGTGAATGTTTGTAGTTTTCCAGATGAGTTTTTGAACAGGGAATACAAGAGAGCCTTAATGTTTTTGGTTCAACATATTCAAGCTGATAGGAGTTACACTGTGTAGAAGAATAGATTTTATTTTATCTTATTGCTTGTCCCAGGCAACAAGTTCAGAGTTATACTACCAGGCATGATGGACGCCTTGGCTACCATAGTTGCATTCGGGCCCAAAAAACCCGACCCGGCCCGAGCCCATAGGCAATTTGTCCGAGCCTGACCCGACCCAACTAATTAACTGTAATTAGAGGCCTGAATCAAAAAAATAAATTTCAAAGAAAGGAAGATATAAGATTTCTTGTTTCACCAAATGGATATTAACATACAAAACTAATAGCTTAAAAAAATCAACTGTAAAGACAGGCTATTAAACAGATGAACAAAAATATTTTAGAGCAAAATTATTTGGGAAAATATAGAACGAGGCTATTTTAATTGAACGAGCTGCTCGCTTCGGCTTTTGTAGATGCTGCTACCTCTTCCACCGAAGTTGAGCAGGGTACGGAGCGGGACGCGTGCGGCCGATGATCCGGTGATCCATCGGGAGTTTAACGAGACTTCGTTTGACCTCTTTCAACCGGCCGGTCGGACCTGAGCGTGCACGTGACTCGACACACATCAGCAGGTTTCACTGTGCTGGCTTTGCGGAGTGTGTTCTCCTGTTTTTAGTTTTTAATACTTTCCAGCTCCATTATGTTGTTTGTTGTGGGTCAATTGCAAATCTTCAGATGTGTGATAACGGCCAAGGGTGGGCGGAGACACATGCGCAATTGTTGTGCAATGCACCAGCGCTACTCTCTCTTTTCACAGTCTGATTAACTTCTGCACTCTATTTTTATTTCTCTCTCATCCTTAACATATAAACTTACTGCCTCCTCCTCTACGAGTAGATTAACACAATGTTATATCATGCATTCTTATTTAGTTTTTTTTTTGTGCTGTATGACTCGTAAAACCACATCAAAAGCCCAAGACCGACCCAGCCCGCCCATCAAGCACAGAATTTTGGCCCAACCTGGCCCGGATTTCAGGTCGGGTTGGGCTCGGGTCAGAAATCGCAGCTCTACATAGATTAATCTTCAGCCACCCCAGTCATTTGAGGAAACTTTAAAGCAATATAAAAACTAAAAAGCACAGTTTCTTCAAATGACTGTGGTGGCCAGTTTACATATGTAAGATGCTGACCATCTTGAGCTTGGACAAGGCAACCCAATTTTCAAAAGGAGACTTTCTTAAGCCTAGATGCAGCCACATACCAAAATGGAAGTTGGCACCTCACTTATTTATCAAGTTATTGCGCTCACATGCACAGGCAGACAGACGGGATGGTTTTTCCAATTCTCCCTTTTCACTCCACGACAGAAAACAGCTAAAGGCCTAGCATTCCTTGAAGGAATGCATATCGCCCACCGCCTTCATGTCAGAGTTTCAGACTAAAATATTCTTATTATGAAAATAGAAAGTATTTCAGCCATTTTGGACAAACATTAAAAATAATGTTATGCTCAATCTCAAGTGACATGACAAGATCTCACACAAGAGTATGTGTTGGAAATTACTTTTAGCTACAACCTCATCATTTTTAAGCTCAGTATCTGTGAAAATTAGAGGAGTCTAGATGTTTCTTTTTTGGCTAATGTCAGTTAGCTGTGGTGACCATTTTGGATTGACACCAAAGTTATTGATGTGCATATAATCAATACCTTCTGAAAATGTTATTAAAATCAGCCCAGTGGTTCATAAGACGGGCAGCACGGTGGCGCAACTGGTAGAGCTGCTGCCTCTCAGCGAGCAGGTCCTTGGTTCAAACCCCGGTCCAGGGGCCTTTCTGGGTGGAGTTTGCATGTTCTCTCTGTGCATGCGTGGGTTTTCTCCGGGTGCTCCAGTTTCCTCCCACAGACCAAAAACATACATGTTAGGCTGATTGGTAACTCTAAATTGTCCCTAGGTGTGAGTGAGAGAGTGAATGGTTGTTTGTCTCGTTTGTCTCTATGTGGCCCTGTAATGGACTCAAGACCCGTCCAGGGTGTACCCCGCCCCTCGCACAGTGATTGCTGGACATGGGCACCGGCGACCCCCGTGACCCAAAATGGAATAAGTGGGTAAAGATAATGGATGGATGGATGGATTGTTCATAAGACAGAGTTAATTCTAAAAAGGTGATGAAAACATTTTAATGAACGTTACTGTACAATCTGTGAACATGCAGCCTCGGACTCATACACTGACTCAATTCAAAGCTCAAACTCATACGCATTAAAGGATATCTGACGGCCATGTTTGTCAACAGACGGGGGCTTTCGATTGGGTGACGTGATGCGATTCCGGTCACGATAAACTCTGTCCACCAGTCCATGGTGTCGTGTTGATCGATTCACGTCGAGCCCTGAATTCTGACAATCAACAAAAAGACAGTTTTTAATAAAGAGCTCACTTTGTGTACGTTATCATTCAGTCCCAGGAGATGAGATACTTTGCTGTCTTATACAGTACTCAATCTCTAAAGAGAAAACTACAGTACTTTCTAAAACTGTGACATTCTGATTTTACATTGTTTTAGCCAAAGGTATGTTGGGTTTGGTTACAGAGAGCCAGTCGTAAAGAATTCAGGCCTTTCAGCATGCACTGAAGGTACAGAAAGAACAAAAGCTAATGTGGCTCAGAAAATTAAAATACTCAACTTCAAATAAACTTAAAATTTTAAAAAAGCTATTAGAAATTATCATAAAAAGTAGACACATCTAATAAACGTATTATCTTTCGTATTTGCATGTCAAGGACTATTCTACCTCTAAGTTTTAAGGATGAAGACTTTGGGGTTCCGACTGCCCTTGTGACAGCTTTTCTTGTATTTTTGTGTTTGTTTTTTGAGCAGATGTTCCTGTACTTTTTTCAAATGATCTTGAAATGGCAAACTACACAAATGTTCAGAGAAAAAAAAAAATCCCCCTCTCATAAAACAGACTTCAGTCGATGTACAAACTGTAACCAACAACACAATTTTTCAATAAATTCATAACCTATCACTTTACTTTACTACAAGCTTCATGCACAATGTTGGTTGTTGTTTTATTATTACAAAAAATTTGAAGTTATTAATGTTTTTATTAATATTGTAAAAACATGGTGTATGTCTTAAGGAGGTTTTATGCACTTTCACATAACACTACAAGCTGGGATATGGACACTTTCTGGGTACAAGCGCTGAGTAATTTCTGAATAGACTGAGGCTGGGACAGAGAGTCCAGTGGCGCCGCCCCATTGTGCCATGCAGTGAGGTAGTAACAGAGGTGAAACAGTCTACATGTGAAAAGGTAAGACTGTTTGGTGCCTCAATACTGTGATGAAGTGACGCTATGCGGTCTGTGTGATGACAAAGTCAAGATCAACCAACAACAAATCTATTACAGAAGAAATATCATCAGTGACCCACAGCCACTGCCTTTCATCAGTGATGAACTCTGGAGGCAGCAGAACGACGGACTGGTCTTTGTAGCATCTTTGTGGAAATGTTGTGTGAAGGGGCCTTCTAACGCTAACATAATTTGTTACTTGTAAAAATGACAACCACATATAAGGCCCCTTCAGGAGAACACATTTCAAGTTCAGAAAATGCTAACTATGAGGTGCATTAAAAAAAAGTGTAGCTCATATACAGATTAAACAGCTGTCAATGACCTTCTTAAAGCACATCTTGAAATTAATTAAAGACATTTTGGTAGCACAAAGCCTTTAAAACATGTTCATTTTGTCACAACCTTGAAGTATTTTACTGGGATCTGATGTGACAGACCAACAAACAGAAGTGAATAATTGTCATGTGAAAGAAGATTTTTTTTTTTTTTTTAACTATTATGAATCTGAAAGGTGTGTTGTGTTTGTGTTCAATCCCCTTGACTGCTATCCTTAACAGAAATCCTGGAATAAAACAAGTTAGAGAACATAAGCCAGAGGTGGAGGTTCACCTTCCAGCAGGACAACAGCTGGAAACATCCAGCAGAGCTACAATGGAACGGTTCAGATCAAAACATATTCATATGTTGGAAGAGACCAAAGTCCAGGGCAACCCTTAAAATCTGCTTATCAGCGACACTCTCCATCCAGTCTGATGCAATTTGAACTATTCTGCCAAAAAGAATGGACACATTTTTCAGTTTCTAAATGTGCAAAGTTGGTAGAGATGAATTTGAAAAGACTTGCAGTGGGAATTGCAACCAAAGATTACAAAGTGCTGAGTCAGGGGGATGGATACAGATGTACGTCACACTTTTAGATTTTTGTTTGTAATAGAAATCAAAATTTAGTTATCATTTTTCTTCTACTTCACAAACATGCTACTTTGTGTTATTCCACCCCATCAAATCCAAGTAATGTCATGTTCTGTGGTGTGGTTGGACCCAGGTTGCAGACAGGACTCGGGAACTTGAGACCAAGATAAAGAACATTTATTAATTTAAACAAAAAGGGCTGACGAGGCAGATAAACTTACATAAATCACGAGAAGGCACAGAGGGAGACAGGAGCATGACGCCGTACAGGACAATCCATGGACGGGAACAACAAGGAAACGCAGACTGCACTAATGAGGGGATAAACACAAACATCTGGGGAAGGACAACAGGTGACAGAGGCAGGAGCTGATGACATGAGGGAGAAACACTGAGGAGGACAGGACACTGACACCAGAAACACAAAACACACACACATCCTCTCAAGTAAAATACTTTGAAGTTTGTAGTTGTGATGTGAGAAAATGTGGAAACATCTGATAGATGAATACTTTTGTAAGAAAACTTTCAGTGTTCTTTTAATATTTAAAAAGTATATCAGTAGTAATCTGAAAGTTAAAGGTGTCACATGAAAACCTCACCTGAAAAAGCACATCAGCAGGGCTGCTTCCCACCTGATTGACATTAGGCAAAGATCCACCATAATACAGTCCACGGTTCTGTCCCATCTGCAAATACGTTGTCTCCTGCACCTGTAACTGAAAGCAGAACAGCAACAGGTAAGGAAGTGGGACAATACAGGACCCTTGAACAAGACAGAAAATGTGGATTTCTCAATCATGACAACTTCTTTTAAAACAGCAAATAAAAATAACATTAACAAGGTATAAAACAATATTAGGTCAACAAATGATTGTGTTGTATCATAGAAGAAGAATGTGACAGACTCTTTAAACTTATTGCTTACAATAGTTAAAAAAAACAAGAAGAGTAGTCAAAACCCCTGAAACATTAATGGTACATTACAACTTGTTACGAGGAAAATGATAAAGTGAAAGATGTAGTATAAGACAAAGAAAATGGTAACAACAAAGAGTAATCACGGCTCTTCTACACACCAAAACACTAAATTGTACAACTGAACATCTGTGCTTCTGACAGGGTAATAAGGACAACTTACAGGTAACAACAACAACAACAACAACAACAACAACAACAACAACAACAACAA